ACAACACCCACCAGTGGGACTCGAACCCAGAAAGCACAACTACCTTCCAGTAGCTGCCATAACTAGTATGCTTTAACCCACTACACCATTAGACCCTACAAAAGAAGTAGAGAGTTCGATATATATATATATATATATATATATATATATATATATATATATATATATATATATATATACATCCCAAATATCTCCACTTCCCGAGGGCACCAGATGAGTGTGGGGTTAGTCTGCATTTTTCGTCAAGCCACTGTCAATGTGAGAGAACTCGTGTCCAGCTTATAAGCCTATACTTGCATAAACCACAGGTGAAGATTAATAATCTTTGGACAACACCCACCAGTGGGACTCGAACCCAGAAAGCACAACTACCTTCCAGTAGCTGCCATAACTAGTATGCTTTAACCCACTACACCATCAGACCCTACAAAAGAAGTAGAGAGTTCGAGATATATATATATATACATCCCAAATATCTCCACTTCCCAAGGGCACCAGATGAGTGTGGGGTTAGTCTGCATTTTTCGTCAAGCCACTGTCAATGTGAGAGAACTCGTGTCCAGCTTATAAGCCTATACTTGCATAAACCACAAGTGAAGATTAATAATCTTTGGACAACACCCACCAGTGGGACTCGAACCCAGAAAGCACAACTACCTTCCAGTAGCTGCTACTAGTTTCTTTATCAGCTACCTCACCCTGTCAGGGTAAATGAGACAAATGTATGTGAATGCATGTATGTGTGTATATATGTATGTGTATGTGTGTGTGTGTATGTATATGTATGGGTATAAAGCAAATATGGAAGCTGATCAGAATTACATTTCACCTTTGTGAATGTACATTAATGACACTATGTAAAAGACACATCTAATACTTTATGTAGGGCGTACGTAAATCTGTGTATCTTTGTATTTACGTATGTAGGTTAGCTTAGCATTTTAAAAGCACCGAATCACCTTCTGTGGTTGAGTGTTCAACAAACCCTTGAACTGTATGTTTAACACTTCTCTAACCCTGTCCATGGAGGACAGAAGAAAATGTATATATGCTGGTTAGCATTGTAAATGTCTGGCCACGTCTGTGGTAGAAAAAAAAAAAAAAAAAAAAAAAAAAAGTAGCTGCCATAACTAGTATGCTTTAACCCACTACACCATCAGACCCTACAAAAGAAGTAGAGAGTTCGAGATATATATATATATACATCCCAAATATCTCCACTTCCCGAGGGCACCAGATGAGTGTGGGGTTAGTCTGCATTTTTCGTCAAGCCACTGTCAATGTGAGAGAACTCGTGTCCAGCTTAAAAGCCTATACTTGCATAAACCACAAGTGAAGATTAATAATCTTTGGACAACACCCACCAGTGGGACTCGAACCCAGAAAGCACAACTACCTTCCAGTAGCTGCCATAACTAGTATGCTTTAACCCACTACACCATCAGACCCTACAAAAGAAGTAGAGAGTTCGAGATATATATATATATACATCCCAAATATCTCCACTTCCCGAGGGCACCAGATGAGTGTGGGGTTAGTCTGCATTTTTCGTCAAGCCACTGTCAATGTGAGAGAACTCGTGTCCAGCTTATAAGCCTATACTTGCATAAACCACAATGAAGATTAATAATCTTTGGACAACACCCACCAGTGGGACTCGAACCCAGAAAGCACAACTACCTTCCAGTAGCTGCCATAACTAGTATGCTTTAACCCACTACACCATCAGACCCTACAAAAGAAGTAGAGAGTTCGAGATATATATATATATACATCCCAAATATCTCCACTTCCCAAGGGCACCAGATGAGTGTGGGGTTAGTCTGCATTTTTCGTCAAGCCACTGTCAATGTGAGAGAACTCGTGTCCAGCTTATAAGCCTATACTTGTATAAACCACAAGTGAAGATTAATATATATATATATAATATATATATATATATATATATATATATATATATATATATATATATATATATATATATATATATATATATATATATATATATATATATATAAAGTGTACTCACCTAGTTGTGCTTGCGGGGGAGCTCTGGCTCTTTGGTCCCGCCTCTCAACCGTCAGTCAACAGGTGTACAGGTTCCTGAGCCTATTGGGCTCTATCATATCTACACTTGAAACTGTGTATGGAGTCAGCCTCCACCACATTACTTCCTAATGCATTCCATCCAATTAATAGTCAATAAAGAGTGCCGTAATGAACATGAGAGTTGTGCTACATTTTACCCACAAGTACACCCCCACAACACCTGCCTCCCACCTCCTCTCCCAGCACAGCCTCCCATGGCTCGCCCGAGGAACCCCACCACCACCACTGACGCACACGTCTCACTAAACGCTCCTCTAGTGCACCGTTCTGTAGCTACGGGAGAGGGCTAGAGGCATGTACCTGTAGAGCCGTACCAGAACTACAGGTACTCTGCCTCTGGTGTAGGTCAGGGAGAGTGTCCCGATTCAGGAGTGGGGCCGCGGGGATAACTTCTGGTATAATGGCGGCATATAGTGTGCCTGGGCGGGCCGTCCCACCGCTCAAGTGCACTAGAGAACATAGCAAGTGAGCCCGGCACTGCTGGCCGTCTGAGCTCGCCGTCATACACTCATATGTGAGACCATTTTCTTGCAACAAGGTCATGTAGAAATACATGTTGCAGAGAACAAGGCAGTTACAGGGCGTCGTGACTTCCTGAGGGGAATGTTGTTAGCTTCGACGCCCTCCATGTGTCGACGCCATGCATGTGTCGGCGACCTCTATGTGTCAACACCCCTCCATGTGTCGACGTCCTCCATGTGTCGACGCCCTCCATGTGTCGACGCCCTCCATGTGTCGACACCCACCATGTCACGACGCCCTCCATGTGGCGACACCCTCCATGTGTCGACGCCCTCCGCGTGTCGACACCCTCTATGTGTCGACGCCATCCATGTGTCGACGACCTCCATGGGTCGACACCCCTCCATGTGTCGACGCCCTCCGCGTGTCGACGCCCTGCATGTGTCAACGCCCTCCATGTGTCGATACACTCATGTGTCGACACCCTCCATGTGTCGACGCCCTCCATGTGTCGACGACCTCCATGTGTCGACGTCCTCCATGTGTCGACACCCTCCATGTGTCGACGCCCTCCATGTGTCGACGCCCTCCATGTGTCGACGCCCTCCATGTGTCGACGCCCTCCATGTGTCGACGCCCTCCATGTGTCGACGCCCTCCATGTGTCGACGCCCTCCATGTGTCGACGCCCTCCATGTGTCGACGCCCTCCATGTGTCGACGCCCTCCATGTGTCGACGCCCTCCATGTGTATGTGTCCATGTGTCGCCCTCCATGTGTCGACGCCCTCCATGTGTCGACGCCCTCCATGTGTCGATATGGGAGCCGGTCGTTACCTCCATGTGTCGAAAATATGTGTCGGACAGTCACGCCCTCCGTCGGTCGACTCGGCACTAAAAAGCCCCTCCTGTGGTCTTGGGTTCGATCCCAGGCGCCGGCGAGAAACAATGGGCAGAGTTTCTTTCACCCTATGCCCCTGTTACCTAGCAGTAAAATAGGTACCTGGGTGTTAGTCAGCTGTCACGGGCTGCTTCCTGGGGGTGGAGGCCTGGTCGAGGACCGGGCCGCGGGGACACTAAAAAGCCCCGAAATCATCTCAAGATAACCTCAAGATATCCTCCATATGTCGATACCCTCCATGTGTCGACGCCCTCCATGTGTCGACGCCCTCCATGAGTCGACATCCTCCATGTGTCGACGCCCTCCATGTGTCGACGCCCTCCATGTGTCGAATGTGTCGATACCCTCCATGTGTCGACGCCCTCCATGTGTCGACGCCCTCCATGTGTCGACGCCCTCCATGTGTCGACGCCCTCCATGTGTCGACACTATCCATGTGTCGACGCCCTCCATATCTCGACACTATCCAAGTGTCGACGCCCTCCATATCTCGACACTATCCATGTGTTGACCCCCTCAATGCGTCGACGCCCTTCATGTGTCGACGCCCTCCATGTGTCGACACCCGCCATGTGTCGACGCCCTCAATTTGTCGACGCCCTTCGTGTGTCGACGATCTCCATGTGTCGACACCCCTCCATGTATCGACGTTTTCTATGTGTCGACGCCCTCTATGTGTCGCTTGTGTCGACACCTTCCATATGTCGACGCCCTCCACGTGTCGACGCCCTCCATGTGTCGACGCCCTCCATGTGTCGCATGTGTCGACACACTCCATGTCACGACGCCCTCCATGTGGCGACACCCTCCATGAGTCGACGCCCTTCATGTGTCGACACCCTTTATGTGTCGACGCCCCCCCATGTGTCAACACCTCTCCATGTGTCGACACTCTCCATGTGTCGACGCTCTCTATGTGTCGACACCCCTCCATGTGTCGACGCCCTCCGCGTGTCGACGCCCTCCATGTGTCGACGCCCTCCATGTGTCGACGCCCTTCATGTGTCGACGCCCTCCATGTGTCGACGCCCTCCATGTGTCGACACCCTCCATGTGTCGACACCCTCCATGTGTCGACGCCCTCCATGTGTCGACGCCCTCCATGTGTCGACGCCCTCCATGTGTCGACGCCCTCCATGTGTCGACACCCTCCATGTGTCGACGCCCTCCATGTGTCGACACCCTCCATGTGTCGACGCCCTCCATGTGTCGACACCCTCCATGTGTCGACGCCCTCCATGTGTCGACACCCTCCATGTGTCGACGCCCTCCATGTGTCGATACCCTCCATGTGTCGACGCCCTCCATGTGTCGACGCCCTCCATGTGTCGACACCCTCCATGTGTCGACGCCCTCCATGTGTCGACACCCTCCATGTGTCGACGCCCTCCATGTGTCGACGCCCTCCATGTGTCGACACCCTCCATGAGTCGACGCCCTCCATGTGTTGACACCCTTCATGTGTCGACGCCCTCCATGTGTCGATGCCCTCCATGTGTCGACGCCCTCCATGTGTCGCATGTGTCGATACCCTCCATGTGTCGACGCCCCCCATGTGTCGACGCGCTCCATATGTCGACACCTTCCATGTATCGACGTCCTCTATGTGTCGCTTGTGTCGACACCTTCAGTGTGTCGACGCCTTCCATGTGTCGACGCCCTCCATGTGTCAACGCCCTCCATGTCTCGACACCCTCCATGTGTCGACGCCCTCCATGTGTCGACACCCTCTTTGCGTCGACACCTTCAGTGTGTCGACGCCTTCCATGTGTCGACGCCCTCCATGTGTCAACGCCCTCCATGTGTCGACACCATCCATGTGTCGACGCTCTCCATGTGTCTACACCCTCCATGTGTCGATGCCCTCCATGTGTCAACGCCCTTCATGTGTCGATACCCTCCATGTGTCGACGTCCTCCATGTGTCGACGCCCACCATGTGCGACACCCTAAATGTGTCGACGCCCTCCATATATCGACGACCTTCAGTGTCGACGCCCTCTATGTGTCGACGCCCTCCATGTGTCGACGCCCACCATGTGCGACACCCTAAATGTGTCGACGCCCTCCATATATCGACGACCTTCAGTGTCGACGCCCTCTATGTGTCGACGCCCTCCATGTGTCGACGCCCTCCATGTGTTGACGCCCTCCATGTGTTGACACCCCTCCATGTGTCGACACCCCTTCATGTGTCAACGCCCTCTATGTCTCGACGTCCTCTATGTGTCGACGCCCTCCGTGTGTCAACACCCCTCCATGTGTCGACACCCTCCATGTGTCGACACTCTCCATGTGTCGACACCCCTCCATGTATCGACGACCTCCATGTGTCGACGCCCTCCATGTATCGATACCCCTCCATGGGTCGACACCCTCCATGTGTCGACGCTCTCCATGTGTCGACGCCCTGCATATGTCGACACTCTCAATGTGCCGACACCCTCCATGTGTCGACACCCCTGTATAAGTCGACGCCCTACATTTGTAGACACCCTCCATGTGTCGACACCCTCCATATGTGGACGCTCCCCATGTGTCGACACCCCTCTATGTGTCGACGCCCTCCATGTGTCGTCACCCTCCATGTGTCGACGCTATCCATGTGTCGACACTCCTCCATATGTCGACGACCTCTGTGTCGACGTCCACCATGTGTCGACACCCTCCATGTGTCAACGCTCTCCATGTGTCGACGCCCCTCATTTTCCAACACCCTCCATGTGTCGACACCCTCCATGTGTCGACGCACTCCATGTGTCGACACAACTCCATGTGGCGACGCCCTCTATGTGTCGACGTCCTCCATGTGTCGACGTCCTCCATGGGTCGACGTCCTCCATGTGTCGACGCCCTCCATGTGTCGACACTCTCCATGTGTCGACACCCTTCATGTGTCGACGCCCTCCATGTGTCGACGCCCTCCATGTGTCGACACCCTCTTTGCGTCGACACCCTGCGTGTGTCGACGCTCTCTATGTGTCGACGTCTTCCATGTGTCGACACCCTTTATGTGTCGTAGCCCTCCATGTGTCGACGCCCTCCATGTGTCGACGCCCTCCATGTGTCGACGCCCTCTATGTATCGACGTCCTCCATGTGTCGATGCCCTCCATGAGTCGACACTCCATGTGTCGACACCCTTCATGTGTCGACGCCCTCCATGTGTCGACGCCCTCCATGTGTCGACACCCTCTTTGTGTCGACACCCTCCATGTGTCGACGTCCTCCATGTGTCGACACCCTCTATGTGTCGACGCACTCCATGTGTCGACACCCCTCCATGTGTCGACACCCCTCCATGTGTCGACGCCCTCTATGTGTCGACGTCATAATGTGTCGACACCCTTTATGTGTCGAAGCCCTCCATGTGTCGAAGCCCTCCATGTGTTGACGCCCTCCATGTGTCGACGCCCTCCATCTGTCGATGCCCTCCATGTGTCGACGTCCTCTATGTGTCGACGTCCTCCATGTGTCGACATCCTATATGTGTCGACGCCCTTCATGTGTCGACGGTATTCATGTGGCGACGCCTTTTATGTGTCGACGCCCTCCATATGTCTCGCTTCATGCAGGTCGGCGTTCAATCCCCGACCGTTTAAGTGGTTGGCACCATTCCTTCCGAACCCCCCGGCGCCCATCCAAAATCCTTATCCTGACCCTTTCCAAGTGCTATATAGTCGTAATGGATTGGGGCTTTCTCCTCATAGTTCCCTTCCCTTCCTGATACGTATAGCAAGTTTTTTCAAATTTCGGCAATCATCTCTTGTTTTTTCTGTTCAGCAATGTTCAATACAAATGAACATATTGTTGAATATAACGCTGAACACATTGCTGAATACAGTGTTGAAGACAAATATATATAGATAAGAATGTGATATTCTAAACCGATAAAATATTTGGCATTTGAAATTATATATTACACACATCTATGTAGCTTTCTAGAACAAATAGAATAACGATCTCCTTCACAACAATCATTTTATCCCAGAGCCCCACAAGCTATCACTTGGCTACAAGCGTCACCCTCATGAAAACAATTTATATCGTCGATGAAAAGTTTTATTTAGAGTGGGATATGACGTTGAGGAGTGGACGGAGTTGTTAGAGACAATTAGCGGACTTGTGAGGACCTCTCTAGTCGTGGGAGGGTGAAGGCTGTGTACGAGGTGGTCGGCCTCCTGACGAAGGAGACAAGAGGGTAACGAGAGGAAAACTGCTCTGTTCATTGAACTAGATAAACACAGCTGTGCTCGAGGAACGAAACAAACACAGATATACTCGTGGAAGGAAGGGAGCACAACTGTGTTCAAAGGACGAAAGGATCACAGCTCTGTTCGAGGAACTAATGGGACATGTTAGAGGAACGAGAGGAACACAACTATGTTCAAGAAACGAGCTGTAAAACATCCTCTTCACGTATATTCTGGTAACGAATGTATTACATATATACAACTCACAGACTATAGTTTTGTTATATTATATCATATATATATATATTGTGACGATAATCTCCTTCAAGAGATTGAGCCTGCTCTTCCCTCCTAAGTTCGTCGCTATATACATCTAATATGGAAGAAATATCCAACAAATACAACACCAAGGTTTGCCAGAGAGCAAACGTATGCAGCACAAGGAACACCTGCTCCCCCCGCCACTCGAATCACCAAACTACCTGTCCGTCGCCTGCTCATCGCTGATTGGCTGCGTGTCCAGTTGCACCTGCCCTCCACCCGCCACACTACCTGATGTCTGGGGCCACACGACCTACAGACCTCAGAATATCCAGTGCTTTCAACAAGTTAACACGTCTCGTTGGTAGACTAAGCTCTGGCTTACGTGTACTAAGAGAGGTGACAGCTTAAAGCCAATATTTCTGCACCTATTATCTGATTGTATATTGTTCACTTGTTATTACTCACTTGTCTTAACGTAACTTTTCATTTTGTCATTTGATTATTCTTATTACTTTGATTGATTGATTTTATGATACGAATTTTATGTCCATTTTATTCATGTTTTGCTTTTCTAACGTAATTAAAATCTCATTGTTAAATTTACTTGTGTTTTGTGTCTTCCCATTACCTTACCACAGACGAAGTTCCAGATTTTCTATTTTTTGTTTCTATATGTGACGAGGCCATACCCCTAGCTTTTGAACAGCCGAACACCAACGCGTTACCGTCACATATTAAGTGGGGGCCTGTCCTAGGAGCTTCACTCAGGTACTGGTGCCAAGTAGTAATTTATGGTAAGCGTATTTGACTTTGTTAACGTAGCTTTTACTATTTTTCATATTCAATTTCATTTTTTATATGGTGCGGAGTGTATTGTGCATTACGAGAGTAGCATATGGTGAAGGTGAGACAACTTTGGATTACGTGGTGACTGTAGGCCGCAGTCATACTCTTAATTGGTCATCTCTCCCTCCGTGTTATTACTCGTGTTTACCATCTTTTGTCCCTTGGATATTTCTCATTTTTGACAGATCATCATATTGGTACCCTGGTACTGTGGTCTGCCCCGGGTCAAGTGCACCTAATCTTCTGCAATCTGACTGTAGGAGGACAAAGAGGGCCATAGTTCCCCTAGCTCGAACTTTAGTTGCTGAATTGGGACCTCAGCAGCAGTTCTCGTCACCAGTTGACACCTCGCATGCATCCCTACACGTCAGAGATGATGATACATACAACGGTAGGGAATTAGCTTACTTTTTCAGAGCACAAAAGTTCGCTAATTCTGTAAGTATCATATTAATTTCAGTAGGAAAAACTTGCTTATGTCCTATAGAGACTCGGCAAGGTATGCCTACATCCTTGGACTACCAATTTTACTTTTGAGGCAATTAACTGTTTCATTTGTTTTCGAAACTCTGTTTCATTTGTTTAGTAGGATTTTCTTGCCCTTATCCTCTTACACGAGTACCGGGTACAAGATTTCCTGCGCCCTTGATTTAAATTAATCATTTAACATCTTGTACTTAACTTTAATTGTTAAAGATCCCACAGGATAGGTACCAGTTGCCACGTTGTCCTGTTTCTGACATTCACTATAACGGTATATTCGTTGTACATTAATTTGCTAATTTCACCATGTTTCGTCTCCAAGCTTTCCGTGCAGATCCAGCTGGTACAATAGGGACGTTAAGTCATGCCAAGAAGACTGAATTACAAACTCTTGCACATGAGTATCAACTAACAGTCCCCTACCAAGCCAACAAGAGTGAAATACACAACCTGTTACTGGATCATTTCTTAGAGCAAGGTAAGATAGACTCTGAAACTCATGAAACTTACTATATTGCAGATAAAACTGAGTTGGCAACGATGAAACTCAAACTAGAGCTGGCCAAGATTGAACGTGAGCAGCAAAGGGAAGCAGCTGCCATACGAAGGGAAGAACAAGAACGTGAGGCTGCCTTGAGGAAGGAAGAACACGAACGAGAAATCGCCCTCAAGGAACGTGGACTCGCCCTCCAGGAACGTGAGGTTGCAATACTCCAGGAGCGGGAGCGAGTACAGCTTGAAACAAAACGACGCGAGTTGGAGATGCAACGCGAACATGACCAGCAACAAGCGACTCTGGCTCTAGAGTGTCGTCAACGAGAATACACGTTGGAAACTTCACACCTCCCTCAACGCCAGCAAGCTACTGCCAATCTTCCCATCAGTTTTAATATATCACATGCAAGTAAGTTAATGC